CTGAGCCTCGTCCCCACCGATGTGCTGGATCCAAGGGGAAGCCAAGAGTGGCTGTTCAGGGAAGCAAGGATGAAGCTATGTAATGAGCTTGCATGTATGGTCGGAGTGCCCATACTCATGCCAGGAGACCTTTTGTGGTGTAGGCTGAAGCAAAGGGTGTGAAGAGAAGGGATGGGGGAGAGGTCTTTGTATTCTTACCCCACATCCCACAAATGTTAGGGGCAGACCTACCCTTCTGTGACAGCCAGCACAATTGGCTGCCAGTGTCTTGGGGGAACCAGAACGCAGGAGCTGAGTGAGGAGAACTCTGTAACGTTGGTCATAGTTACTCCCCCTGCAGGTTGCCCTGGCAACCAAATCTTAGCTGCTGGTGAAGCCTGCATGGCCTGCCAGATGTCAAGGTCCAGAGGGGATGTGGCTAAGACGACAAATGTTTGGTTCCAGGGATAGGTTCTAAGATTCCTCCGGGTGCTAGGGTTCTAGGATCCCCACCAGGCCAGGCAGACAGGTGGATGAAACCCATGCCTTCCAGGGGCAAACTATAGAATAGCATGGGCTCCAATAGGGAGTTCCTATTTGCCTGGCCTCAGGCAAACCCTTCCTTCGCTTTACACATATTTGTGATAATCACTATATTTTGGAGCGCTGTAAGATCTGGAGCTAATACATGCCTAATAGTACCTGACACGTAGTAGGGCCTGGTTTCAGTTATCTATTGCTGGGTAACAAACAATCCCAAGACTTAACAAAGCCATAATGCTGTGTTAATTCTCAGTTAATTGGGGCAAGTCTCAGCTGGTGCAGTGGGTGCTAGGGTCACTCCACTGGCCTCATTGAGCAGGCCCCAGGCTGAAATGTCCAAGAAGGCTCTGTTCACATGAATGGTGCCCCTGGGCTCCTACGTGTGGCTCCTACATGTGGCCTCTCTGCCTGGCTAGCTTGGGCTTCCTCACAGCATGGTGGCCTTGGCGCAACTGAATTCTCACATAGCAGCTGGATTATCCCAAAGAAAAGCAGAAGCTGCCAGACCTCTCAAAGGCCAGACCCAGATTAGACAATGTCACTTCTGCTGCAATCTATTGGCCAAAGCAAATCGTAAGGGGAAGGAAAACTGACTCCACCTCTTGATGGGCGGGATGACACACACGTGCAAGGACAGGAAGAAATAGACAGTAGCCGTCTTTGAAATCTACCTACCAGAGCCCTCAACTCTTATTTAGCTGTGAATTTGTGACTATTCTCTCCATATGTTCCACCCCCTTTTCCAAGGTAATAGCTAGGACTCCTCAGTTCAGGAGTGACGCAGGGCCCAGGGGATGCCCTAACCAATAGGGACCTGCACTCACATTCATCGCAATGCAATGGGGAGGTGGGAAAACTTCAAGGATGATGGTTGAGTGGGTCATCTACAGATGCTGGACCAGATGTCCCAGAGCTCCTAGCGTCACCAAGCTCAGCTCGGAAGGAGAAAAGTCACCCATCAACTCAGACCCTCCGCCAGCTTGGAAAGAATGTGTCAGTGGTGGCCACCATGAACTGAAGGAGAGAGGGCCTTCCTCCTTTTACCCATGCCATGTAGACCTCCCAAGATTAGAGACCTCAAGGAAATAAAAGGTCCCCCAATTAATGACTTGGGTTGAATTTCCCACCAAAGAGGGCTCAGAGTAGGATTTTAATTAATTGAAATAAAATGTGACATTCCTTGTACAACTGAAATTCATGTGTACTGTCCTATTGCTAGAATATGAAATCCCAGGATTACCAAAGCCATACTAAAATCAGGTGGAGGGGTGCCTGGGTGGCTCAGTCGTTAAGTGTCTGCCTTTGGCTCAGGTCATGATCCCAGGGTCCTGGGATCAAGCCCCGCATCGGGCTCCCTGCTCAGTGGGTAGTCTGCTTCTCCCTCTCCCACTCCCCCTGCTAGAGTTCCCTCTCTCACTGTATCTCTGTCAAATGAATAAATAAAATCTTTGAAAAAAAAATAGTTTAAAATCAGATGGAAACACAGGAAACTCACATTCAATGTCATTCACATTCAAAAATTCAAATGAAATACCTCATATACCTACTGGGTAAAACCTGGAGGTTGCTGGGATTTTAACATGGAGTGTTTATAGCCTTGATCATTTTCCTGGGCCCTGGGAGTGATCTCCTCATCCGAGCCTGGAGAATCCTTTCTGTGAGCTCCAGAGAGAGGGCAGACTACAAGCTTCATCCATCTCTTGGCCTCATCCCTCTCACATCCCCACAAGCCATGTGCCCATCCCAAAACACTGGATCAGCCCCCTGGGAGGAGCCCAGAAGAGCCCACGTCATGACACTAGAGAAATGAACAGCTGACGCACTCCAGCTAGGAGGTGATCTTAGGCACAGCCAGGACCTGGAAGCATGACTATGCCTGCCTTCTGTGTGGAGAGGTGTGACAGGGCAGGGGCTCTTGCTATGGTCAGTGCTGGCCAGGATGCTCAGCAAACCTGGGGCTCATTTTGAACTACAAGTGACCACTCTGGGGAAACTGAGGCAGGCCAGCAAGGGAAAGGTGATCATATCTACAGCCCTGGGTCTGGAGGTAGGGGATGAAATGGGATTCAGTATGTGAACTTCAGTACTCAGGGTGAAGGGTGGGTGCATTCAGGAGAGAGTAAAGCCGGCAGCTTGGGGAGCAGTGCTGAGCTTTGTTATCCACTGGGGATGACTCTGGGCAGCTGCTTTGTCCTGTTCTTGGGGATCAGAGGCCAGGCTGCCCTGAATGGGTGGCAGGAGAAGACACATTAATTTCCTATAGGAAGACCCCAGTGCCAGAAAGCAGGGTGAGCTGTTTCAGTGCCCAGGGGCCAGTCAGCACACTCTGTGTCCTGATACTGGGCCGGGGTGATGGGCTCCAGAAAGAATCGCTGATATTTGCTGTTGACCTCAGTGCCTGAGTCCTCCGTGGAGAATGCTGGCTGGCCTCCGAAAACCCAGTCCAGGTCTCAGCCCTGCCTCAGAACAGCTCTGTGACCAGGGGTAAGATGCATCACCTGGACCTGTTTCCCCCACCAGTGATGAGGTGAAATACTGAGGTGTCAGCACAGAGCTGTCGGCTCCCACATCAGTGTCCTTCCTTCCTTCAGTCATTGGAAGACTGAACCCGTGTCCCCAGAGAGAATTTGAGGAGAACAAGGGCTCTCGGCTAAGAACAGTCAGGCCAAAGCATGTCCATGTTGGTAGGAGTCATCCGGCCCTTTCCCTTCCCTCAGCAGGCTTCAAGGGCCCTAAACACCATTCCGAACAATTAATGCTGCCTGCAAAGAAGTGGAATTAACGTCTGAGGCAGTTAGGAAAATAGCTGATTCTTCATGATGGGATTTTGGAAGATGAACTCTCCCTGAGAATTCACCCTCTTGACAGGAGAGATAGACATTAGCTATGTACATGCTTGTCCAGCAGCTGGGTACATGGGGCAGGGGGCGGACCACAAGGCAGGCTAGGGGGCTGATCATGACAGAGCTCCAGCCTAGGGGAACCCCAGGAGAGAGTTAACACAGCAGGCTTGACTGCTCTCTTTTGAAAGGCCTGCTTACAAGGTTTCCCCTTGGCTGGTGTCTGGTAACTTGAATTTCTGGAGGGTTCCTGCCATCTCCAGAACTGATAACCATGGCTCAAAGTGCTCAAACTATTTGTACAATGTAGTTTATGCTGAACACCTGCTTTCCTTGAGACACTGTGACTTTGCTAGGTTCTAGGCAGAAGATGCCCACATGACCAGCCCCCAATAAAAACTGAGAGCCCTGAGTCTCTAATAAATTTTGATTGGCTGCAATTCACATGTGTTGTCACACTCTTCGGTGGGGGAACTAAGCATGTCCTGTGTGAGTCCACTTGGAGAGGACCCTCAGAAGCCTGCACCTGGTATCCCCCTCCTGCCCCCCGCCCCAGAGTCGGCCCATGTGCCTTTTCCCTTTGCAGATGGTGCTTGGTATGCTTTGGCTATAATAAATCAGAGCTATGAATACAACTACATGCTGAGTCCTCGAGCCATCTAGTGAATTACCAAACCTGAGAGTAGTCTTGGGGATCTCTGACACACAGCCCCCGTCCTGGATTTCCGGGCAAGGCCTGGGACACCAAAACCCCTGCTACTGGGAGGGCCTGTGGATTGAGGTCATCGGTGGGAATTACTGACCCTGCTGCTAAATCCCATTCCTCACTCCCAACCTCTGCACCCACACTCTAAGCCCCCCTACAATTGAGAAGGTGGATTCCTGAGAGTGGTTCTCTCTAGGAGGTTCTATCAGACAGTGTTGATATACAAGACAGCAGGCTCATCTGGCCCAGTTATGAGCCTCCTGGACCTCGAACCATAGGATCAGAGGACACTTTGTTTCCTGAGACTCAGCTGTCCTGCTCACCCAACATAAGCAAACCCTGAGATCACACAACCAAGACCGGAGGGTGCTCAAACCCCTGGCAACAACCTACAGAACCACTGGGCATCAGGGCACAAAGGGCTCTTGGACCATTCGATTCCCCCAAAGGGGAAACTGAGGCCCCACTGGGCTACATAAATGCAGCTGCCACCCCGTGCGATATGCATTTCTATCATGGCTGCTTTCCCATGTCTCCACCTCCCCCTCACAGCAGACTCCAAGCCCCCAAGGGGGTGCCGCATCTAGGCACTCAGTGATCTGATGCACCCCAGGTTACACCACTCCATAAGGGTGGGAGAGGATTCGACTCCGGGTCTCCTGCCTCCCAGGGCTATGTTCTCGTTGGCGGCAGTGCCCAGAGGCAGCACTGACAAAACTCCTTATAGTCCACACCCCAAATGCTCAGGAGGCCCAGGCAAGGCCTCAGGAGACACTGCAACCAGCCCTGAGTCCCTGGATGTCTTCATTTCAGAAGGCACAGCAAGCTTCTGCCGGGGTCGGCATCAACCAGCTGGTCAGAGAGAACCAGTGCCCGGATTTACCTTTTACTCTCTGAGTGGAGACTAGAAACAATAAATGGGCGGCTCCAGGTAAGAGAAATGATTTAACTTTATAAAAATGTGATAATACAGTAAGATCTGATTGGGTTTTTTCCCTTGTGTTCTGGCAAGTTTATAAAAAAAACATCTGGAATAAAAATTAGAAACACAACCTAATAAAAATTAGAAACAAGGAAACAGAGTCATTTAGAAAGACAATAAGGAGAAAACAATAAGCAGCAAAAGCAGCAGAACACGGGGAGCAAGCTGGCTTTGCTGTGCGGACAGAGCGATGAAGGGCCCACATAACCCGAGCTTTCACAGCAGGCTGGGCTGAGGGGCAGGGGAGAGGGTGGGCAGGAGCCATGAGTGGCATGGAGGCCTCCAGAATGGGACCACACTGATGGCCGCTGGCTCAGTGGGGCCTGGGCGTGAAGCTATAATAGCGTCCTTCAAACAAGAAAACGAGACACATAGGGCCACATACAAACACTTTTTGGAATGTCTGCACCATAGCGAAGGCAGAGTTAGGACCATCTTGGAGAGGCAGGCTGGGAACCCCCCCGCAACATCCCCCAGGTTGCCTCCTAGGGCAAAAGTCCTGAGGCTCCCGCCCACAGGACGCGGGGGGGGGGGGGAGGGGGGGGGAGTTCTGGACTACATTCTGAGGTAGTCTAACCGTGACTTGCACAGGGAGCTGAAAATCATCCCCCAAAAAAATGGGGAGGAGGAGGGCAGAAAGGGTGCGCAGACAGAAGAAGCTACTGTACATAACAGAAGGGACCTTGCTACAAGTAGGTTCAGAGATGACCAGAGGGTATGTCCTGGGGTCACAAGTGGCCAGCGGTGGGCCCACAGGGACCCCGGGCGCACATGGGGTTCCTGACCCTGCAGCCACGTGAAAGGAGATGAGGGAACCCATGGAGGGATTTCCCTGCCAGGAGCAGCGCCAACTCTGAGGTGAGGGATGTCCCTTGCTGATGACTCACGTCACAATGGGGATGCGCCAGAGAACCTCAGAGCTTTGGGGTGAGGCATCCCGAGGTTATTTCAGCTATGACTCCTCTCATCTGAACAAGTTCTAGAGAGAATTACCACTGCTAGACTTCCAGGCGACAGAGTGATCAGGTCAAAGCCACCGGTGAGAAAAATAACAAGAACAAAAATCAAAGGTGTTGCTAGACTCCCCTACTTTTTTAAGCTAATTTACATTCCTTTTCTCTTCTGCTCCAGCACTCAGAATTCTAAGTCAGGATGGAATGTTCTGAAGGCCTAGGAGGCAGGAGCTGTGTGGACGTTAGTATTTTCTCTGCTTTCCACATTTCCGCGGACGCCTTCGAGGACGGAGCTCACCAAAATCTTCCACTTCATTTTCGTAATCATCTTCCTGAATGATACCTGTTTCAAAAGCAAAAAACATGTGCTGTGATGAGCCCTGGGGGTTATACACAACTACTGAATCGTTGATCACCACATCAAAAACTAATGATGTACTATATGCTGGCTAACTGAACATCATTTAAAAAAAAGCACAAAAACAAACAAAAAACCGGACACAAAGTACAGAATGGTGATTTCTTTTTTCACTCCACAATTAAATATAACATGCTAGTAAAACCTGATATCTCTGTAATTGTTTTAAATTAAAGGCGGGGAGAAAGCCTGAATCAGAGCCCAACTGAACACCCTTCTCTAGAATTAAGTTCTTATACAAGGCTGGTTCCTCTGCTCTTATTTCAGAGACCCTTCAAATGGCAAAGACATCAAACAAAACCTAAGCTCAACCACAAACTTGAGTTGGTATACCAGTTATCTTCCTTTTGAAACAATCATAAAAATCATAGTCCCAGCAGGACACTATATTCTAAAGATTTTTTACTGCCAAAAATATGTGTGCCAAGTACCTTCTAGTTTTTCCCAGCTCTGGGGTCTGGATTTTCCAGTAGCAGCTGGACTGATTAGGAGGACCCACAGAAGAACATTCTGGGGCACATGAAATATTTGGAGTAAGAAGAAATAAGACCCAGCCAAAAGCGGGCAACAATTGGAATGGGCAAGAGGGAAGACTTCCCAGATGATAAAGAATTTGGCAAGATCACTCTGTCAGGAGAGTAACTTGACTCACTCCATATAAGCCCTTAACCCTCTATGGGAAGGTGCATGCAAGTTTCCCCAATGATTTTGTTTGCTTTGCTCACAGATGTGTTTGTTTTATATCCCCAAGCCCAAAACAATGCTGATACATACTAGACATTCAATAAATACCCACTAACTTACATGAATGGTTCACACAGGCAAGCATATTTACCAAGAGGAGGTTTTTCAATACTTTGTCTATCCTTGGGAGTCACTGTATTGAGCCTGAGTAGTGATTAGATGTCATCGATAACAGCTCGTGAGAGGCCAAAGAGGTTGTCGAAAAAGCAACTAAAGGGAGCCCTCCCAGTCAGCTGGGGAAACTGGGATACTATGTTGCTAATAATTTGACTGACTGGGGCAATGCACCCAGACAGTGAGTGGCCACTGTTGACACCATGGACAACCTTCACATTGACCTGGGAGTCAGCAGAACCAAGAATCACGAGACCCAGAGCATTATCCTGGGATAAAGGGCTCCTTACCTTCCTCCTTTAAGTGGAGTTCTGTCTTCATCAGCCACTCCTGCGCATCCCTGACTGACGGGATGAGAATGTTGACCAACCGAACCATCACTTCCTCCGCTGCAGGAACCAAAGAACAAGGGTTCTGAGTGAGCGGGCCGCTGCAGAGACCAGACCACTCAGTACTAGAGCCAAGGCCCCCACTTCCCAAGAGCCTGTCTCTGTGTTTCCCCTGAGGGGGATAATGGGATAAGGACCCACAGCCACCTTCTGCCACCACAAACGTTATAAATTACAATTAAATACCATCACTGCGTGTCTATAAAGATTGCCAATAGCAAACCTCTCAAGGAAGCTTTGTTCAACATGTCACTAAACCTTAAACTAGAGTGTCCGGATTATAGAATAAGTTTTAAATACCTAGTTTCACTAATTTTATACATAATGTCACTTCCACGCAGTGTTGCTAAGAAATAGCTAATAAGGAAGTTAGAGGAAATCTGATTCAAAGACCACATAGGAATTCTTATTGTTAAAGTCTCACACTGGGTATGGTTTAAGAACCCTCCTAAAAGGATGACACCAGTTACGCACCTCCGGATCTTAGTCAAGGGTTCAGTACAGAGTAGGTGTTCAAGAAATGATCACTGATGAACAGATCAGAAGCTTTCCTCAAGACTGAACGCTTTCCCTATATCCTTGCCACAGAACTAGTTAGCAAGCCCTTTTCTTGTCTGTAGTACCAGGGGAAACCATCCTGACCCAAGATAATCACAATGTTTTAACTGGGGGTGGGGTGGTTCAAAGAATGGGGTTTTGCTGTACTTTGAGAACACACGTTCCTCGCTTGTATTTCTTGGCCAACGCCAAGTTCTGTCATCTCCAGGACAGACCTCACCACAAAAGGACTTGACTCTGACATGTGTTCTCAAAGCCTGGGTTCTAACACCACCTGGGCCCCAATTTCTGAGGACCCCTTACCGCCAGCCCAGGCCTTGCGCCTGTAGAGGTCCTCCACCGTATCCAAAACCTTCTTGATGTTCTCCTGGACCTTCCTCTGCAGCATGTGGCTGTGCTCTTTGGAGCCCAGGTGACTGCGGATCCACATGCTCTGCTCAATGTCCTGTACCACCAGCTTGCCTTCATCAATGGCCGGGTCCACGTTCTCACGGAAAAATTCCGAGTACTTCTGATAGGCCACCTGCTGCCTCTGATGACCTTCTAGGAGGATGTGCTGCTCGTAAGACTCATTATTCCTCTCCTGACCCTCTGTGTCTCCCAGCTCGGCCCTGGAAATGGCCACCGCCTCTGAAGCCTCTCCCTCAAATGCCTTCCCGGGGCTGAAATAGTTGTCAGGACCTCGGGTGAACTTCACCCCACACAGGTCGCACTGGGTCCTGTCGACGTCGGCCTTCTTGAAGTTCCCGGCCCCGGGCTCCCTGGTCTCCTCTCGGAAGCACTCTGTCTGCGCACTCACCCTTCTCCTCCAGCTGATGCACAGGGACACCACCAGGCAGGCCCTTCTCAGCTTCCGCTGGATGGAAGCCTTCCGCTGCTTCTGGGAAAGGATAGCAGCCAGGAGGTGGTCCCGGTCTTCCAAGGCCAGCTCCTCTGTCTCGTCCTGACCAAACTCGCACTCTGGCTCAGCAGAGTAGTCCACGGAGTCCACACAGAGCAGGCGGCTTAGTTTCACCTCCTCGTGATAGAGGCCACGCACCACGGACCCCTTGGTGTGCACGCTGTCCCACCGCCAGTGGCAGTCCATCAGGTACTCTTCGTCCCGCTCAGAGAGCAGGTCCTGCAGCGCCTCAGCCACAGACTTCACGGTGACCGCCGTCAACACCCGCTTGACCACTTTCAGGAGCCTCTCGGGAACCTGGTCCGGGCAGTCCATGCTCATCAGCTGCAGCCTCATCTGGATCTCCTGGAAGTGGCGGTGCAGAAGAGGTTTGCAGTACGGCTGCAAGAGCTCCTCGGCATTCACCAGCATCACCAGGCACAGCACCAGGGTCCGCTCTGCCTCACCAGACACCACGTAGTCTATCTCAGCGAAGGCATCGAGCAGGACGTTGAAGTTCACGTTCTCACAGCCGCAGAGCACCTTGACAAGGTAGGAGAGGTGGAACCGGAAATCCTGAATGGCCCTTGTCACGTCCTTGGGTTTGTATTCCTGAATGATGCAGAACACGTCTCCGAGCTCCCTGTCCTTCTTGCTGAACAGGAACTCCCAGTAGTGCAAGAGCGCGATGTAGCTCTTGGGGAGGCACAGGATGGCATTCTTCCAGAGGCGGGCCAGAACCACCGCACAGTGGACAAACTGGAACTCCAACAGGGCCACGGTGTTCCCGATGCTGGGGATGAGCGGTTCTTTGCATCTCTTGACCAGGACATTCATGAAGCGGAAAAAGAGCCTCTTGCAGTCTTCTGGGTTCCTGTATACATAGAACTGGTCAATGCAATTCTCCAGCAGCCGGATGAAGCAAAGGTGGGTCTTCTCGGTATTGTCGTCATCCTTGTTGGGCGCCAACATGCCGAATTTTCCTTCTATCCCCTTCATCTTGCTGCCTCTCCCCCTGCCCCTTTCCTCTTTCTCAGCCTCTAGAGCTTTGAGTTCCCTGTTGTAGTTGTCCTCCTCCTGGTGGAGCAGCTTTTCAAACTCCTCCGGATAGTTGGAGGAGACAAGGAAAGCCTGCATGGCGCTCAGCCACAGGTCCGTAGACTCCCGGCGGCTTCGTGCCCTTTCGTTTTGAAACAAAAAATGGATGTACTCTTTCAGAACAGACCTGCAGGATCGAAAGGATTTGTAGTTTGTTTTGAGGATTTCTTTGCATGCCATGGGGTTTTCTGACAACACTCTCTGATGGAAATGCTTAGGGAAGAGGACATTCAGGAAGGATTTGCAAAGGCCATACCTATCTGTAGGCAAAATATAATCAATGTCTTCAAGTTCTTCTGCCAAGATTTTAGGGAATACTTTTTTGGCTTCCAAAAGCAACCCACTGATGGCCACCAAGTGCATTTTTGACTGAACCAAACACTTGGCCTCGCAACGCCGCAAAGGCCTGTGGAAATCTTTACAGTTTTCATCCTCACATTTCAAGCCTACAATAAACCTCATGCAGATGCCTGGGTAGGTCTTCCCAAGCAGGCTCTGTGTGATCTGACACAGCCTACTCAAAAGGTGTTTGTTGAGGGCTAATTTCACTTGGTCAGTCATTATCAAGAAATAGTCTTTTGTTTTCTTCTCTTTCAAGTTCAAATCCAGGTCAAAAATTATTTTTAATATGGGCCCAGGGTCATTCTGAGCTATCTGGCAATACTTGGCATCCACCTGAGAAATTCCAAAAAACTCAAAGCAAGACTTGACCATCTCCTTCTCTGCATTGTTGGTTACTCTTTTGAGGGCCCTGACCAGATGGAGGAGGACTTCCAGACCCCCCGGAGCCAGGGCCAGGACCTTCTCAGGCTCGGCCTCACAATGGCTGGTGGCTTCGTAGAGCGCCTCCACCACTCCAGCTGAGTGATTGAGTGTGTTAAACTTGAAGAAGGCGTCCTTGAGCTTTTGAAAGTCTCTCAGGATCACCCCCTGGAGGAAATGGGCCTCAGCGATGCCAGACAACTGATTGGTTTGAGAGCAGAGGTCAAGGGCTTCTCTCAGAATGGCCTTGGTGTGCTCTACATCTGAATCCCTGGCTACATTGAGGCGGGCAGCCCCCAGCAGACACGAGGCCTGGAAGTCCTTGTCGGCAGTGAGCCTGGCGGCCTCCAACAGGCAGCCATGTTGCTTCATCAGCAAGGCAGCCTCTTCTCGCCGACCTTCCCTGTTCAGCAGTTCTGCAGCTTCTGCAAGCCGTCTGCGAGACTTCAGGAACACCAGCTGGTCTTCTATGTCTAGCTTTGAGAGGACAGTCATCATCTCCTTGATCTTATTTGCACTCAGGTACTTTGCTGCCGCTTCCAGGTAAAACTGACTGGCAGAATAAGACAGCTTGGATATGGGAAGGGTCTTGGCCCTTAGCATTTCTTCGTACCTGCGTTGACAGACAACACAAATGTCAACCTATTACCACCCAACAGAAAATGTTCTCCAAAATACAGCACAGAGCCCGTTAACTACAATTCCCACACGTAGATATAAATAACAAAATAGGACCTAAACCTATCCAGCATCTTTATAAATGCTTCATTTCACACGGATAAAATTAATTCTTTATTCTCCAGAGGAACCAGCATTAGTATATTTAATTAATGAAACATAATGGAGTTGCAACCTAAGCAAATGGAAGTTAGGGTTGAAAGTCAATTTGAGGGGCAACAATTATGCATAATCAAAATTATCCCTGAAAAAAAAAAAAAACCCTTAAACTTTCATAAAAGCATGATAATCATTTTGGGTCTACAGCTCCATTGAGTCTGAGACAGGACTAATGAGAAAGGGTGAAGACAGAGACTGCACACATACCAGCAGGACAGTAACCTTCCTCTTATTACCCAAACTGTGATTTTTCTCTTCTGCCAGGTATGCATGTGGTTGAGTTAGAGTGAGATTAATGAGGCTCTGAATGCTCCCCTTTACTCTGCTGATCAAAGTCAGTATATCCCACACCACAGTCCCACAGTCTTCGAGGCACTGGAACAATCCAATAAAATATGCTTGCTTTTGAACTCTCATGGGATAAAATCCATTTCATCACAACCAGAAAAGTGCCCAGGTGCCTTATGATGCCCCAGAGTTATGCTACAAACATCAGATTTCCTAGCAGAACAGGCTTCCCATGAGGGGTGTAAATAAAAATGAAGAAAGGGAGTATACTTTACATGTGAGCATTGGCTGATGGAGTAAGGAGTAGTTTTAGCAAGTATAAAGAACTACCCACGTATTTTCTTTTCAAATTTAAAATGTCCTCAATACACTGTGAGTCAGGCCAGTTAGCAGTTGAATTCTACACCCAATATGCATGGTGTTCAAAGGACACTCAAACAGATCTAGTGTGAGGCTCCAGTTAATACTCAGATTACTCTTAGATCTCAACTCAACACATCATTAGAAACTCTTAGTTGTATACCTCAATAAAGCTGAGAAAAAAATAATGAAAGAAAAAGATGTTTCTGGGAGAAATCCATGACTGACTATTCAAGGCTCTTCTGGAAAACTGAGGACAGAAGGTTATATAATGAATTAAAAGTTTAAAAAAAAAAAACCTCTCAGTCGGTTTTGTCATACAAACTCACAAGGGAATTGGCCTGGTCAATTACCCCCACCACCACTGCATAGCACCCTGATAACGGGGTACCCAATAAATATCACAGCTGGCATCCTGTTATGGACTGATAGTTTTGTCCCCTAAAATTCATACAGTCAAGCCCCAACTCCCAGTGTGGTTGTATTTGGAGATGGGATCTCTAAGGAAGTAGCTAAGGTTTAAATGAGGTCACAAGGGTGGTGCCCTGATCCAAGAGAACTAGTGTCCTTATAAGAAGACACCAGAGAGGGGCACCTGAGTGGCTAAGTCAGTTGGGCATCTGACTCTTGGTTTTGGCTTGGGTCATGGTCTCAGGGTCATGGGATCCAGCCCCACATCGGGCTCTGTGCTCAGCAGGGGGCCTGCTTGAGGATTCTCTCTCCCTCTCCCTCTGCCCCTCCCCTCACTCATGCACGCACACTCTCTAAAATAAATTAATTAATTTTTTTAAAAAAAGAAGAAGACACCAGAGAGTGAGCTCTCTTGTGCACTCTTTCTCCTCAAATGTCAAGGAAAGGCCACATGAGGACACAGGGAGAAGGCAGCCATCTGCAAGCCAGGGAAAGAGCTCTGAGCAGTAGTCCAACCGGCCAGAGCCTTGATCTTGGACTTCTAGCCTCTAAAACTAGGAGAAAATAAATTTTTGTCATTTAAGCCACCCAATCTATGGCATTTTGTTATGGTAGCCTGAGCTGACTAATACACACCCATTGCATGTATCACATAGAGAATAGTACCAAAGACCTGGATAAAAGAACATGCTCATTTACCAGCCCTGGCCCTGAACACGTACTTTTCCATTTCCAAAAATAAAACTCAAAGTACTGAGTATCTTTATTGAGGTACTGGTTACACAAGTATATTAATTTTGTGAGAATTATGTGCACCTTTTTGAATATATACTTAAATAAAAGCTGACTTAAAAAATAAAAATCTGGGGCGCCTGGGTGGCTCAGTTGGTTAAGCGACTGCCTTCGGCTCAGGTCATGATCCTGGAGTCCCGGGATCGAGTCCCGCATC